TCTGGAAGGGGGCCAGACGGGGAGAGCTGAACCCCAACTCCCAGCCACCGCAACCAGCACACCGAACCCCTCTGAAGCCCCCCTCCAGCAAAAGGTAAGTATCTGGAGGGTGGCTGTCAAAGTGTAGATTTTGCATGTGTGTCTGAGTGTGTGTGTCAGTATATCTGTCAGTGTGTGTGTGTTAGTATGTCTGTCAGTGTCTGTATGTATGTGTTAGTGTGTCAGTATGGAATGTCTGTGTCTGTATGTGTGTGTGTCAGTATGTGTGTCTGTCAGTGTATGTCAGTGTATGTGTCTGTATGTGTGTGTGTGTCAGTATATGTGCCTGTGTCAGCATGTTTGTTGATATGTGTGTCAGTATGTGTCTGTGTATCTGTATGTTGTCAGTGTGTGTGTATCAGTGTATGTGCATGTGTTAGTGTGTATATTTGTGCATCTGTATATAGTCAGTGTGTGTATCTGTGTATCTGCATGTGTGTCAGTGTGTGTATCTGTGTGTCTGTGTCTGTATGTGTGTCATAGTGTGTATCTGTGTGTCTTTACATAGCTAGTGTGTGTGTCAGTGTATCTGTGTATCTGCATGTGCATCAAGTTGTGTATCTGTATGTCTGCATGTGTGTCGGTGTATCTGTATGTTGTCATTGTGTGTATCTGTGTATCTATATGTAATCAGTGTGTGTATCTGCATGTGTGTTAGTATGTGTATCTTTGTGTCTATCTGCATGAGTGTCAAGTTGTGCATCAGTGTGTATGTATATGTGTCAGTGTGTGTGTATATTCATGTGTATCAGTGTGTGTGTGTGTGTGTGTGTGTGTGTGTGGCAGTGTATGTGTATACATCTCAGCATTCAAATGCCAACACTACACACAAACACACCCCTGCATTTAGGACCACCCGATGAAGATGAATTGTCAGGTAGCCCGGTCAGCGCTGGGCGCTTTAACAGCGTGGGAACTCTGACTCCCATCAACCTGAGCCACCACTGGACCCCAGGGAAAGTCACCCTCCTGCACCTAAAAGGTAGGAAACAGGAGGGTGACGTAGACATTGTGTGTGTGTGTGTGTGTGTATGTGTTAGTGTGTATGTGTCTGTCTGTTTGTGTGCCTGTATGTATGTGTGTCTTTGTATGTATGTGTGTCTTGTGTGTATGTGTGTATCTGTCTGTATGTGTGTGTGTGTGTGTGTGTGTGTGTGTGTGTGTGTGTATGTATGTATGTGTCTGTCTGTTTGTATGTATGTGTCTTTGTATGTGTGTCTGTCTGTCTGTATGTGTGCCAGTCTGTATGTATGTATGTATGTGTCTTTGTATGTGTTTGTGTGTGTGTCTGTCTGTATGTGTGCCTGTCTGTTTGTATGTATGTGTCTTTGTGTGTGTGTGTGTGTCTGTCTGTATGTATGTGTGTGTGCCTGTTTGTACGTATGTATGTGTCTTTGTATGTGTGTGTGTGTGTGTGTGTGTGTCTGTATGTGTGTGTGTGTCTGTATATATGTGTCTGTCTGTGTGTCTGTCTGTATGTATGGGTGCCTGTCTGTTTGTATGTATGTGTCTTTGTATATGTGTGTGTCTGTATGTATGTGTCTGTGTGTGTGTGTGTCTGTCTGTCTGTATGTATGTATGTGTGCCTGTCTGTTTGCATGTATTTGTGTCTTGTGTGTGTGTTTGTGTCTGTATGTGTGTAGGTTTATGTATGTCTATATGCGTGTATTATGTGTGTCTCTTTGTATGTATGTATATATGTGTGTGTCTGTCGGGGGAGGGATTGGAGGAAGAGAAGGGGAGGGCCCACGGATCAGTTTTTCACCGTGTACACCACTGGGGCAGGAACATCCCCAGACAGCCAGGGAGGTTTTCTTCCACTTCTGTGAGATACACAGAGATAACAGGAGTGGCAGTCGAGTAAGGCTAGCTTTTGCAAGCTGTTTTTTCATACACTCCCAAAGAAAACATGAAGAAGAAAAAAAAATACACATGCATGTTTTCTTTGGGTTTTTAACTAGTAAATAGTAAATGAAAAAAGAAAATAGTGTTCCTTTAATCATGTATTCAGGAAACAAAAATTGCTCATTTAAAAAGACAATTTATAAAACCAGCAGATGCCCAGAAAGCAGTACAATCCTATAACTAGCAAGGTTTTTATTATTGAATTTCACTCCGTACTGTAACTGTTTTCAAATGACAAATATGAACTACTTCTGATAAGAATGTAAATCTATTTTATATGACAGTGTTATGTGTTTTGTCATTTTCAAAGGAAAATAGAAATTATGTTTATAATATATAAAAAAATAAACCTGCATAACATTTTGCATTTAAATAGCCATTTATTTCCGTATATGTTGTCTATTTAGACACAAATGCCAAGCTCATAAGTAACAAGCCCACCAATTTGAATTTCACAAGAAGTAAAGTAAATGCTGGCTACAGAAACCTTCAAATCACACTTTACATACACAGAATGCAAGTCTCTTTGCAGACCAATGGAGAAAAAAAAATGGGGCGCTTGAGAATACTGAGAACAGGCAGCAGCTGAAATAACCTGCCCTTTCGGTGGGTCCCCGCTCAGTTCTGAAGCTGGTTTTATCTCATCTTGTGCCATTACAGAGAGAACATCTCTGAAGCATATCAGACTGGTCCCACCCATACGGGCTGTCCAGATCCAAAATGCCAGCAAGTTCCCTCTGAACGAGAGACACAGCAACCCCAGACGATCATTTCAGTCTTGTTAGGCATCATCAGTGAGGCATAGCTTATATCTCTCCAGCCACCATGAGCAAGGGGTCCACGTCTGGATTACCCTTTAAACTTATGGAGAGCAAAAAACGGGGCGCAAGAGAATACTGAGAACAGGAAGCAGCTGAAATAGTCGGCCCTTCGGTGGGTCCCAGATCAGTTCTGAAGCTGGTTTTATCTCATTTTGTGCCATTGCAGAGAGAACATCTCTGAAACATATCAGATTGGTCCCACCCATACGGGCAGTCCAGATCCGAAATGCCAGCAAGTTCCCACTACACGAGAGACACAGCAACCCCAGACGATCGTTTCAGCCTTGTTAGGCATCATCAGTGAGGCATAGCTGATATCTCTCTAGGATATTCTCTCTGTAATGGCACAAGATAAGCTAAAACCAGCTTGAGATCCAGGGGACCCACCGAAGGGCAGGCTATTTCAGCTGCTGCCCGTTCTCAGTATTCCCTTGCGCCCTGTTTTTTGCTCTCTCTTTGCTGACCAATGTCTTATGTAAACTATATACATGAATGCTTATTTATTTTTATTTTTCATCAACCACCAGACAACTAATATACTTAATTCTGTCCTGTATTTTCCCTAATCATTCTTCCATGCCAAATAACTCCTTTATCCCTTCTTCTGTGACCTGGATCCATAGCCAATTACCAATATCTATTTTTTAAAGGCTAAAATAATGTGTTGCAAACTAATCATCAAAACTTATCTGACTAAATGATAACCCATTTGGTCTATGTCACAACATACTTTTCCATTTTTAAGCGCTAGCAACAGAAAGAATTCACATTTTCTGCAATGACTTTTTTTAGCTGCTGTCAAATAGTTAATTATTTTAAAAGTCACGGATCAGGTCATTTAGAAAGTTCACAGGAATGCTGACTGTGTTTCTTCTTTTTAGGTTATTTGTAATTTATACTTTCCAAAGTTGAACATAACTTAAACTGACACTCTGGAAACAATGATGCCTATTGTTTAAAATGTCATGACATGATCTTCAAATCTACAAGCCGATTTAAACATATTAAAATTACCCTGCATCATGTTATATTTTGTACATTTTAAAAAGTATTGAATGTTGGGAACATGTTGTTCCCAGTTACATGTGTTTACATTTTATAAATGTATTAATATATAATTACACAAATACACATATAATTATTATTATTTTTTATTATGAGCAATTATATAGTGCAACATATTACCCTTTTGCATTTTAGAATGGAGATATTCAACAGGTAATTAGCATACAAAATATTAACAGGTAAAGAATGCTTGAGCTTACGATTTACCTGTTTGTCTGTCTAGATATCTATCTTTAGAGACAGATGTAAAAACAGATACAATTTGTATCTTGTAATACCTTTTTTATTGGACTAACAGAATTTTGTAATGACGAGCTTTCGGGAGAACCTCCCTTTCTCAAGTCTAAAGCATTTCTGGGCAAACATGACACGTTTCTATAAGAAAAAAAAAAGAAAAAGAAAGTGCCCACTCCTTAAATTAGTACATTTTTCATAAACCAATTTCAAAATTCACTTACTGCTTTCTCTCCCAGTGCTGCTTTGAGATTAAATCGCACTTTAAAAGCTTCTTGGGCTCCTGAAAAAGAACAATATTTAAAGGGTTCTTTGAAGGTAGTAGAGGGATTTGCAGACTCATTAAACAGCAAGTTCAGCCACATTGAAGATGTTTTTATACCTGGTATTTTAATATAAAATTTGCAATTCACAATTTATATATCTTTTAAGATTTTAGAATATTTTCTTTTTCTACCATATCTGACGGTGCACAGAAAATACAAGATCTTCTCCTTTTCAAAGGACAATCATCTGAATGACAATAAAACCATTCAGACAATGTGTGTGCTGCATGACTTTCATTCCCACAGCCTTTGTGATTTTGGGGTACATTTATCATAGTGTCCCAGGATATCTCATGCATTTTCTATGAACCTTTTCCGTCACGAAGTATCAGCTCTGTTTTTTTAAATTACTTTTTGTATAGTGTATTCCATTTTTTTTAAATGTATGCCGTATGTGCACCCAACCATTTTTTTTACACACACATACACAGACACGCACGTGCACGTGTGGTGCCATACTTAATTTGCAAGGTGGAGCAGATTATGCTCTAAATATTTTCACAACATTCTTAGTCAATAATATATATATATATATAAAGATAAAGGAAGAATTTCTTGCACTCATGCTATAATATCCCTTGTGTGCCGGGTGCTAAGCCAGGGCTTGGTTATCTAGGTATCCAAAGAGGTAGCAGCACTCACGGAATTTAAAAATTCTAGTCTATATTAAAAAAAATCACGTGAGTGCTGCTACCTCCTTGGATACCTATATATATATATGTGTGTGTGGAGGTGCAAAACATGTCACATTTTTCAGACTGCTTTTAAAACACTTTAATAATCTGAAATAGAATTTAACCTCCTGCCTCTAAACACTATTAAATCGCTCTGCACAGGATTATATTCCTTTCTCTGGGTGAAAGGACACATTTTAGAAGCAAAATGTAAGACATTAGCTTTTTTATATTCTACATTAATTCTGAACATTAGGTATTGCATCTACTTGTTTTCTATATATATATATATATGCTTGTTTACACACATATGCTTTATTTTACTGGTCTTCATGAACATTAAAGAAAAACTAAAATATTACTTTCAATTAGAATACAGTATACAGAATCAAATGTAATAAAAGGTTAAGTAACGAAAAAGCATTGCTGTGGTGAAGAAATATGCAAATGTTTTAATAATTTATGTCCATTGAGCAAATTCTGCTGCTCTAAGGTAAACAGAAAACCATATTTTTTATATTAAACTAAATTGAGAATAATGGATAAATGTAGGTCAAATAGCTGAACTAGAAATAAAGCTAAGGCAAGAGATTGCTATTCCATTTCTGGTTCTTTAACCTCAATTTTGCAACTGCCTTGTAAATTCACAGACAGAAATAAAACAATACAGTGGGATAATTACTGTTTCTGAATATGCATAATGAATTATAATGTTAATTATACACATGCCTTACTTGTAACCTTTAAAACCCAAAACTCATCTAGTATGCTTACTGAATGACACCCTCTCCCCCCTCCTTTTATTCAACCATCTCTTATGTTATATTATGCAGCCTACATTGTCCTGTGAGATACTGACACACTATAACACAGGAATAAGTGATCCAGCATTTTGGGCTTTTTTGGGAGTCCTGTTTCACAGTCGAAGGGGCTAAAGGCTGCGTATTTCTTTGAATTCTACAGTAATTTTTCATCACGAGAGGTCCTTTAGCTTTTCACAGATTAATGCTTCTGTACCATAAACACACATCTCACACTTATTTCAGATAGAATGTACATGTTTTTACCTGGTCTGCAGAGATCTGCGCTCACAACTGGGGCAAGGAAACAGCAACAGATTAGAATTTTTCCCAACATACTGGTAGAATGTGATGCAGCAACATAAAGAAATCTCTGGCTAGAGAGATTGTGTCTTAAAAAGCAAGCATGGAGAATAAGTAGGTTTAATAATTAAGCTCTAGTTTTCTAGCCAATCTGATCACCACCATTTGTTAGTCATTTGTCATTTAACATTAGGCATGTCTAAAAAGAATTGAAATGTTTCCTGAAATAACCCAATAAAGTCACTAACACATTCCCATTAATTCATTTTTGCAATTAACGTCACACAGCAAACATAATCACTTGGGATTTCAATTCAGACATATAATTCTTGTGCCAATAAATTCAAAAGGTGACACATGAGAGTTAATCATTCTACAATGGCTTACAACAGGGGTAAACAAATGGTTGTCTTGTCACTCCTTTAAAGAGATACTATAGTCACCAGAACAACTACAGCTTAATTTAGTTGTTTTGGTGAGTATAATCATTCCCTTCAGGCTTTTTCATACAAACACTACCTTTCATAGAAAAAGCAGTGTTTACATTGCCCCCTAGGGACACCTTCAAGTGGCCACTCCTCGGATGGCCACTGGAGGTGCTTCATGGGGCAGTGCTGCACAGTAAGCAGCACTGCAGTTCAGCGTCTTCACACTCTGCATGGAGACTCTGAATTTTCCTCATAGAGATGCATTGATTCAGTGCATCTCTGTGAGGAGGTGCTGATTGGCCAAAACTGTTTGTCCCCGCCCCCATCCCGCCTCCTTGCCAATTTCAGCCAATCCAATGTTTTCCCTATGGAAAAGCGCTGGATTGGCTAAAAAACGTAAATTCTGATGTCACCAAGAAGGTGGATCAGGGGCGGGGCCAGGTGAGTTTTAACCCTACCTAAATGGTGGTTTCAACACTATAGGGTCATGAATACAGGTGTTCCTGAGAATGTAGTGTTCCTTTAAGCCCTATAGTTTCACCATTTCTGATTGCAATTACTGCTGCCTATCTTGGTGGAGATGCAGACATTGACCTGAAGCCAAAGAAGCCCCCAAAGAGGTTAAGCCCATGTCCGAAGAATCCCCAAAACACATAGTTAGCTAGTATGTATCACCTGGAGATGGATTTGTCTGGCAATCAGTGATGACCTCTTTACTAACATTTCTAAAAAAAAATACTTTTGTGTCTATTCAATTGAACAATGATCGATTTTCCCAAAAGACATTAAATTATGTTGACAGTATTTAACTGATACTGACCTGAGAAACTGCACCCATAACTGTAAAGCCTCCTAACCCTAAGTTGGCCTAATAATCCTACTTTATCTTGCCCTTGCCTATGAATGATACCCCATTCTTACCAAGATGGTGACTGGAAATAAAGACTGAAAATTGTGATCAATGCTATGTCCACATATGATTAGCTTGTACAGCCACCAATATGGATTTGGTTTTAGGTGATTGCAGTGTTTTTGTCGATATGCAGATATGCTGTAACACTTCAAATTTCTAGTTGAAAGCCTGAAATCTACAAGGGTCTCTAGGTAAAAGGTGAAGTAGGATGGCAGTAGCATTCCTAGCCAAATCAACACCATCTAAGTGATGCAACTAATACATGATTTTGATTGGCACTTCACTACAAAGCGTCATGTTAGTCATGTTCTTAATAGTAATGAAGTCAGTTTTTAGACAGAAAAAAAAAGTCCCCAAAGTAGGGCAAACACAATCACAATGTGGGCCTAGAGTGGGTAAACCAGAGGTGAATTTATGTTTCAATATTTTAATTTGAATATATAATTTATCTCTATGATAAATGACATATTAAGTGCCTATGGGGAAATTCATGTTAAAGTAAGTCTGACGTAAAAGGTTTTACTTGTGTTGTGCTAGATGTTTAAAACTACAACTAGAATTGTCATATTCTTTTAGAGTATTAGCATGTTATATATTCACAAATGGCTCTCAGACACGGTAGTAAAATAGAACTTTTCTTTACTTCAGTACACACAGATATTAACATAACACAAGAGAGACTAACACAACAGAAAAAGTGCATAACTTCACTATGCTGCCATCTACTGGAAGGTGGGCTGCATAAACCCCAATACATAACACTCCTCCACCGTAGACCTCAAAGTCTTTGAGATAACTGGGAGGTTTAATATTTCGTCTTGGGCGCCCCAAAACCATGTTTGGAACTGCTTCACCTGGACCTTCAGTTGTGCCCATCCCTTCTTCCTGTGTTCTGTCATATGGACCACACAGAACTGGTTCTTCAACAACAACTCCTGGAGAACTGAGACTTGTATCATCCAGTGGTTCAACATCATCTGGTATCACAGAAAACCCAGTATGACTGGGACCGGCAGCAGGCACAATCTCATCACTCCGTTCCCGAATCTGATCGACATGCCTTCGTAATATTCTACCATCAGGAATTTGTACTTTGTATGACAAAGGTCTTGTGGCCACAAGTACTTTTGCAGGTATCCATTTAGGCCCAGAAACATAGTTCCTGACATAGATAGCACTGTCAGGTGCAAATACTCTCACAGTAGAAGCATTATAGTTCTTATTGAATTGCAATTCTTGCTTCTCTTGTAACTAAGTTGTCAAATCAGGATGTAGACGATCCAGACAAGTTTTAAGATGCTGGTTCATAAGGAGCTCTGCTGGACTACTACCGGTGCTTGAGGAAGGTGTCACATGTTGTTGCAGAAGGAAATTTGCAAGTCTACGATTCCAATCTTCTTCAATAATTCACTTTAATGAGTTTTTGGTAGTCTGAACCATACGCTCAGCTTGACCATTTGATGATGGGTGAAATGGTGCAATCGTAACATGTTGAATAAGATTACTTGCCATGAAAATTTTGAATTCTGATTAGGTAAATTGTGTTCCATTATCAACCACAATTGTAACTGGCAACCCATGTGTAGCAAACAGCTTCCGCAGAATGTAACTGGAACAACTTCTAACCATTTTGAAAAGGAGTCAACAACTAAAAAAAACATCTATCCGTGAAAAGGGCCAGCAAAATCTATGTGTAAACGAGACCAAGGTGACCTAGTCACTTCCCAAGGATGTACTGAGGTTTTAAGTGAAGCATGACAAGTAGATTGGCATGGTACACAGTTCTTCGCCCACTTTTCAATAACTTCATTCATTTTAGGCCACCAAACATAACTTCTGGCTAAAGCTTTCATGCGAACTATTCCAGGATGTCCTTCATGAAGAGCATGCAATACTCGAGCTTGTCCTGCATTTGGAATTACCACTCTGTTTCCCCATAATAGGCACCCTTTATAGGCAGATAGTTCATGTTGGCGCACTACAAATGGTTTGAACTTGTCTTCCACTTTTGATTTTGACCACCACCTCCAAACCCAGTTGAGCACACGGGACAGCAAAGGATCCTTGGCAGACATACAAGCAATGTCACTTGCATGTAATGGAGGGTTTGGAATGGATTCCAACATGAGGACCTCAGACAAGGAAGTCAGGAGAAGGCATGTATGATATCCTTGACAGGACGATACTTGAACTCACAAACATCGGCATTCAGCATAAGGGACCACTTGAGCATGCGTGGTGAAATTATTTGAGGAGTGGGAGTATTGCTGGTGAACAGACCCAGTAAAGGTTTATGATCTGTTATAATAGTAATACTCCGCCCATACAAATAGTCATGAAACCTTTTTACACCGGACGCAATAGCTAAAGCCTCCTTATCAATTTGGGCATAATTCCACTCTGTAGTAGATAAAGTCTGTGAATAAAATGCAATAGGGGCCTCAACCCCATTTCTCAAAGTGTGGCTCAATACAGCCCCTATGCCATACGGAGAAGCATCGCAGGTGAGGTTGAGTGGTTTCTCCAAATCATAGTGTACAAGCAAACTGTCAGAAGACAACAGTTTTTTAGCAGTGCTGAAAGCGTAAGTATGAACGTCAGTCCTCTTCCATGGAGCATCTTTATCTAGTAGACGATGCAGAGGTTCAGCAACAGTGGCTTTATCAGGCAGAAAAGAATGGTAAAAATTAAGCAACCCTAGGAAAACTTGCAGTTCTTGTTTGTTTGTTGGAACCGGAGCTCTATGGATAGCTTCAACCTTAGAATCAGTTAGATGAATGCCCTGTGCATCAACTCGGTAACCAAGGAAATCTACGCTGCTTACACCAAAAACACACTTTTCTTTTATAAGTTTTAGATCAGCATCAAGAAAACGTTCTAAAACAAGTTGTATCTGTGCAGCCAATGACTGTATAGAATCTGCTCTAATAAGAACGTCATCAAAATAAGGCACTACACCTGGAAGTCCAGATAAGTGGTCCTCCATTAAATTCTGGAATATTCCAGGAGCAATGGAAACTCCAAACTGCAAATGTCTTTCTCGGAAAACTCCTTTGTGTGTTATTATTGTTTCTGCATCAGCAGCCTCATCATCCACAGGTAACTGCTGGTAGGCTTGAACCATATCCAGCTTGGCAAATACTTTCCTTTTGCCAAAGTAGTAAGAATTTGATTAACAGCTGGAATCTGATAGCGATGTTTTTGCAACGCTTTGTTGATTGTACATTTGTAGTCAGCACAGATTCTGATATCCCCATTTGGTTTCATGACCGGAACTATGGGTGTACACCACTTTGGGTGTGTTACGGGTTCAAGTATACCTTGTTCCACAAGACGTGTAATCTCAGCATCTATTTCTGGTCTGACAGCTAATGCAATTTTGCGAGGCTTCATACGAATTGAGGATACTGTTGAATCTAATACAAAAGAAACAGGAGAGCCTTTAAACAGGCCAAGACCTTCTTCAAAAACTGCACTAAATGTATCAATCACATTCTGTAGAATATCTGTGGATACATTATTAACTCCAGTTAATGAAATTCCTAAGGGTTCAAACCACTCTCTACCTAGCAAACTTGCTCTTTGTCCCTTAGTAATTATTAAACGTAAGTGTCCTCTGAATTTACCATATATACTGGTATAAAACAAGCCCCTTTAACATCCACAGCCTGTTTGTTGTAGTCCACCAGATGAATATCACAAGGTTCTATTGAAGGAGAATTATGAGGCCATAACAATGTAAATGTCTCTTCTGAAATCAAAGAATATGCGCACCCAGAATCTACTTTCATTTTGCACGGAACATCTTGCAGCATAATTTCAGTATAAATCTTCAGTCCTGATGGCGAATTTTCCACTTTATTCACATAGTCATTTGAGTAAACACTTGCAGTCATTTCACTATCTGAAACGGTATGTGGAGTATTAACAGAGTGCGGTTTGTATTGTATTCGCATTCTTATATTGGGTTTGAATTCCACTGGCTTGTCTTTAGCAAACTGTCTGTATATGACCTGTACGTTTACATGTGTGGCAAACTGCATTTCAAAAATAACATGTATTATGCCTGTGTTTTCCACCGCAACTATAACAAGTTCCTTTAAATGGAGCTGTGACATCAGTGCGTGGTGAAAAGTCTTCTTCACTAGATTTATTTACTTTGCTGGAGGAGGATTGTATCTCTTTTGAATGGACATGTGCAGCCTCATTTGCGAGCGCTTCCTCTTGTGCAATAATAAAAGATAAATTCTGTCTTGCAAGCAGTCTCCTCTGCAGTGCTTCATCTTGCACCCCACACACAAGCCTGTCCCTTAACAAGGATTCTAAGCTGGTACCAAAATTGCAATTTTCAGACAGCCTGCGCAGTTCTGCAATGTATGCAATGTATGCTGCAATGCTTTCACCTGGTTTCTGATTTCTTCTATTGAAATGGAAACGCCTCACTGTTTCAGATAGGGTGGGTGCTAAATGATTTTTTAACAGTGCCAGTATTTCTTCAAATGAGTAGTCTTGTGGTTTAGCAGGAGATATCAGTGAGCGGACAGTATCAAAAGTCTTGGATCCAATAACACTCAGTAACACAGCTCTCTTCTCAATAGCATCAACCACCTTATTAGCTTCCAGGAAAAACACTAACCGCTCAGCATATGAGTCCCATGAGGCTGTGTCCATGAGAAGCCATGCTGGAGATATTTGTAGATAACAGAATTCCAAAAGAAAAGTGTTACTTTCTCACTCAGGGTGATTTTATTTCCTGTATATATATTCTGCAGTGTCCATTTACTGACATCCCATCCTCGTCACCAGTTTAGAGTATTAGCATGTTATATATTCACAAATGGCTCTCAGACATTGTAGTAAAATAGGACTTTTCTTTACTTCAGTACACACACATAATAACCCCTTAACGACGCTGGACGGAAATTTTCCGTCAAGGCAGACCTACCCTTAAGGACGCTTGACGGAAAATTTCCGTCAATTACTAAAGTTAACGCCAGATCGCCGCGATCGTGGGGTTAACACTGTTGCTGGGTACCTCGGCGTTTGAGGAAGCCCAGCAACAGCCAGTAGCGCTGTCCCAGCACATGTGATCGCTGTGACAGCCAGTCACAGCGATCACAGTGCTGCTGGGAATTCTGATCCTCCTCCCTCCACCTCTGTGTGTGTTTAGAAGTGGAGAGAGACGGATCGTTTGAAACTTTGTGTCCCTGACAGACACAAAGTGTTTAAAAGTTTAAAAAAATGTTTTACCTCGTTTACCTGTGAAAATTAACAAGGGTTTAACCCTTTGATCACTGGCAGCAGTGATCACAATACTGATCACAGTACTTTACTGAGATCAGAGGTTTTTTTTAAAACCTCAGGGGTTAACTTTATTTTCTTTTTAACCCTCAGGGGTTAAATATATTTAATTTTTTTTTTTTTTACTATTATTTTCAGTTAATTAGTTAGCTGGGGTGGATTGAAGCTAGGGGGAATTGGGGAATCTAGCATTAGTGTAGCTAGGAAGCTGAAACGTTTTAGAAAGTTATTAAAAGTTTGTAAAAGTTATTAAAAGTTTATAAAAGTATTAAAAAAAGTGAAAAAAGGAAAAAAGAGGAAAAAAAAGTAGTTTATTTTAAGTCAAAGCATTTCTGCTTCGCTAGGTGTAAGCATGGTGATCTGATTCCTGTTTTTACCCACAGGGGTTCATTTTTAAAAAAGTTTTTAGAAGTTTTAGAAAGTTTTTAAGAGTTTTTAAAAAGTTTAAAAAAGTATTAAAAAAAGTTCAGAAAACAAAAAAAAAGTATAAAAAAAAGTTAAAAAAACAAAACAAAAAAATACGTTATTTAGTTAAAGTTAATTTTAAGCTTTCACCATGCTTAGAAGGTTTAGTGCCGAGGAGGCATATAATATATTATCAGCCGACTCAGAGGCAACCGACACTGCCTCAGAGAGTGCAGAGGGTGACTATGTGCCAGACACAGATGAAGAAAGTGACGATACCCCTGGCACTGCTCCTGGCGCTGATATCTGGGTGCCCCCTAACAATTTTGTCCCCGACATCCCTCTGTTCACTGCGACTCCTGGTTTTCAGGGAGACGTGACCAGCTATAACTCCCAGGATTTTATGGAGCTGTTCCTTGGGGATGATTGTTTAGGGCAGATAGTTACACAAACAAATATTTATGCAGCGCAGTATCTGGCACAAAATGCAACAAGTCACCTTGCCACAAAAGGGAGCTGGTACCCCACCAGTGTGCCAGAGTTAAAACAGTTCTGGGCACTAACCATGCTAATGGGAATTATAAAAAAGCCCAGCATCCGAATGTACTGGTCCAAAAACCCAGTATGCAATACTCCCATTTTCTCTCAGACCATGAGTAGGCCCAGATACGAAACAGTACTGCGTTTTCTGCACTTCAATGATAATTCGAAGTGCCACCCCAAAGATCATCCGCAGTATGACAAACTCTATAAAATCCGCCCCCTAATTAACCATTTTAATAAAGAATTTGGCATAATTTATACTCCCCAAAAGAATATGTATTGACGAGTCCCTAATGAAATACAAGGGTAGACTGGGGTTCAAGCAATACATCCCAGCCAAAAGATCCCGGTATGGCATCAAGCTATACAAGTTATGTGAAAGTAGCAGTGGGTATGTTTATACCTTCAGAATATATGAAAGTAAAGATAGCCACCGGGATCCCCCAGGTTGCCCTGATGTAGTTGGGACTAGCGGAAAAATAGTTTGGGATCTAATGAACCCGCTACTGAACAAGGGGTACCACCTCTACCTTGATAATTATTACAATAGCATACCCCTCCAAAAAATGCTATATTGTTTTGAGACTGTGGTCTGCGGCACTATCCGCAAGACACGCACTGGCTTCCCCAAGGCTCTGGCAGAGAAAAAAATTAAAAAGGGGGAAACGGCTGCTCTATGCCAGGACGAACTGCTGGCTCTGAAATACAGAGACAAAAAGGAGGTGTTCATACTGACTACCATGCACAGTGAACACACACGCAGGGTCGCAGTTCGTGGCAGACAGGAAACAAGACGGCTGCCTGTCTGCATTAAAGGACCACTATAGTGCCAGGAAAACATACTCGTTTTCCTGGCACTATAGTGCCCTGAGGGTGCCCCCACCCTCAGGGACCCCCTCCCGCCCGGCTCTGGAAGGGGGAAAGGGGTAAAAACTTACCTTTTTCCAGCGCTGGGCGGAGAGCTCTCCTCCTCCTCTCCTCCTCCGTTACGCCCCGCCGGCTGAATGCGCACGCGCGGCAAGAGCTGCGGGCGCATTCAGCCGGTCACATAGGAAAGCATTCTAAATGCTTTCCTATGGACGCTGGCGTGCTCTCACTGTGAAAATCACAGTGAGAAGCACGCAAGCGCCCTTTGTGGCTGTCAATGAGACAGCCACTAGAGGATTAGGGGGAAGGCTTAACCCATTCATAATTATAGCAGTTTCTCTGAAACTGCTATAATTATGAAAAAATGGGTTAAGCCTAGCTGGACCTGGCACCAAGACCACTTCATTAAGCTGAAGTGGTCTGGGTGCCTAGAGTGGTCCTTTAAGCAATACAATAAACACATGTCTGATCACCTGTCTGATCAACTGCTGCAGCCATATCTGATAATGAGAAAGACCAGGGCCTGGTATAAGAAAGTGGCCATTTATTTAATGCAAATGGCTACTCACAATGCATTCATCCTTTTCAAAAAGGCAAATCCTTAGCTGAAATGTACTTTTC